CCCTCCCCCCACGCCCACGGCCCCGAGCCGGGCAGCGGGCGAGCGCGGCCGGGCTTCCCGAGTGAAATTTCCTTGAAGGTCTGGCGATGTTTTTGAGGGATAAGGAGCGTAGGGCGAGGCCCCGGGATGTGGTGAGAGGAGCCGGGTGAGGGCGCGGGCAGCCCGGTCCCGGCACAGCGCTTCGGGGAGGGAATAAGGCAGCGGTGTGCTGCAGGGGGGCTCCGGTGAAAGCCCCCGGCCGGCGGGCAGGCTGAGGTGTGCGGCCTCTCCTCCCCGGAGCCGGCTGCCCCGCCGCGCTGAAAGCACGGCCCAGGTGATTAACAATGAAGCGCTGAATAACTGGGGGTGCCTTGTCTCCCTCGACTCGAAAACAAGGGGTCGTGATAGATGAGGTGTCGGTGGAGCAGATGCACGCTAGGTGCAAGGAAGACTTTGGGGGTGTTTGTGTAAGTAGGAAGGTTACCCTCTTGTGCCCCTGCGCTGGCTGCTGTTGCATCATTGAAGGGCATGAAATCAGGACGTGGGATCGATGGGCTGGCACAGCCGAGCAGCAGCCACGGCTTATCCTGTAACACACATAGCAGGTAGGAGAGAGACGGGACTCTGCCGTTCTTAACGTCTACACAACTGTTGTGTGTGTTCAGCAAGTGTTCTGGGGTGTACCTGTGTGTGCCAGCCTCTGCTCCCTCCAGAAGTTACGTAGTTGGTGATCCCGAAGAGTGTTGCAGGTTACCCACAGGCAATTGTATTGCAAAATAAAATAATAGTGTTCTAGTAATGTTTCTGCTACTATTAAGATACGCAGATTAAAGAAACCTTTCTACATCCCATTGTAAGTGTAATACTGCAACAGAAAATCAGTCAACTTCTAGCTTTACCAGTTTCCTTGAGGCTTAACCAAAAAGACTTTGTTCTGCAAAGAACCGTCATGTAATCTTGCATTTGGATCGCTTTTGGGAAGGCAGAATAATTGATAACAATGAGCCAGGCGTTTCTAGACAGTAAGGGATGTAGAAATTTGGATTTTTATCCTTAAATGGACTCTTATATGTAGTAACCTTTGCCCGTCTTGCTGATAGATGGAAGTTATTGTCAATTAAAAAAATAAAAATAATTGCAGCTTTCTCAAAAGAAGCTCAGGCAAAATGGAAGGAGCAGCTTTGGGCATTATTCACCGTCTGGCTTTAATTGGCTTGCAGGAATGGAGAAATGGTGTTTATGCATAATCATTAGCATAGCGTTCCTAAACAATAAGCTTAGTGATTACTTTTTTTTTTCTTTGGTTATGTGGCCTATGGCATGACAGTTGTAACATTGAAGGAGGATCCATCTGTAATTCTCTGGGAGACCCAAGATGGTTTAATCTGAATCATTATTTATGAGTTCTGTGTGAGTTGCATATGCTCTGCATTGAGTGGATCTTGGCTACTAGCATTTACAGCTATGAAATTATATTTGGAAGAAGTCAGGAATACTGGATATGACTCTTTAGACTTTAATATTTGGCAATTACAGCAGTTCAGAGTTTAATAGATAGCCTCTTTTTTATGGTAATAATTGCATTAAGGAAAGCAGTGTACAGAAACTGAATGAAAAAGATTGTTTAAGATACTATGAAGATAAGAAACCTGGAATACTATGAAACTTTTGAAGTTGGGTATCTTATTTTGTCAACATTCAAAAAAGGTTTGCAAGGCTCTTCAGTGCTTTCAAATGCAAATCTCTAATGTCACTTCACCTTTAAAATTTTACTTAGAAAGAAACTTGATACGCTTCAGTACTGAGTTTTGCAATAGTACTCTAGAGAAACGCAGTATTTGGAAATAAATGTTTTGGTGACGGGATGCTTGTAAAAAATGCAAAACATGACTGTATATATGGATACGAAATGACATGTGTAAATGATATTGGTAGAGTAAAAGGAAGTGTCAGCAAACCTTGTAATGTTGACTGAAAATACTGGCCTGTCCTGAACTAGGTTTGTGAATCTCCTACTTGCTTGAAGAGGAATAAGCTTCTTGTCACACTTGGCATAGTACCATAATGAAGGAGGAACATAACCAACTTGCAAATGCTATCAAACTTATAAAAGAAAAAGGCAGGATTTAAGGACTGCTCCTTGAATAAACAGATGAGCTTAGTTTCTCACAAAAAAAAAAAAGCAGGAAAAGCATCAAAAACTTGGATGAAAAGGTAACATGGGGCTTTCAGTCAGTGTTGGAGGAGGAAGGAGGTGCTGGTGCAGTCAGCTCAGCACTGCTGTCCTCGTCCAGCTTCTGCAGAAGCAACAAAACTGCCTCCATTCCTCTGTTCATCTTGGCTTTTTCCCTCCAGCTTCTCTCTTTTCCTGCAAAAAAAGAGAAGGCGTAGAAACTAAATTTCTCCTGCTTGCTCCATATCACCGATGCACTCCTACTTGATGTAAAGATGTATGCATTGTTAGCCCACCTATGTATATTGCAGCTTACTGGGCTTGTGAACCATTAGCCAGGCTAGTTAGGAGCCACCACATATTCTAGTACTGCTGGATCCATGCGGACGGGACTTGTGGCTGGTGACATCAGGGCTTGTAAGACAGACTTGTGGCTGCTGACATCAGGGCTTGTAAGATAGACCGTAAAGTTGATAATACTGGTACGTGGAGGGGGAAGGTGAAAAGACCCTGCTTGAATTTCATAAGGCAATGGGCCAGGGGAAGGAGCCTGGTACAGCCTAGATGCTAACGAGCCTTAGGGACGCTGTCAGGTCCCCTCAGCATCAGTCTGATGTTCCTAATGTTATTCCGCTGTGGGGGAAGACACTGAATGTGAGAGATTAGAGGAGCCTGAGATGGAGAGAGACAGTGCAGCATCTGTTTGTGTTCTAGGCACATGCTAAGGGTTCTTAGCTTTGCGTTTTTGTGGATCTGCTGGAAAGATGTCCTGTAAATGCATTTACGAATCTGTGTGTGTTGCTGCAGGAGACACTGCTTTGCTGCCAGGTGAGAATTCAGTGGGAAATTAGGTTCTCCAGAAGTCATTGAAAAATAAAAAGAAATGAAAATCTTATTTTCAATGAAAAAAATATTTCTGTGTAGGAGTAATAATTGAAGGTGTGGAAAACTCAAATAAAACTTGGTCATCTCCGCTTTTATGTACTGCTTTACATCCTCTTGTGATAAGGTGTGGTGCAAAATTAATTGCCAATGGTTGAAGTGATAGCTACCTACAGCTTTAGGTACCATTTCTGTCCTGCTTCTGTGGCAGGGACAACAGAGTGGAAAGTGTACCAAGTGCTTCAGTTCATTGTATATCATTTTCTGCTGCCCTTTTTGTACAGGTAGCAGTTTTGTGAGAGAGATGGAATGGATAAATACCATGTGAAGTGCCTAGATCACAAGAGGCTTTGGTTTCTCTCAAGAGACTGATTTTGCAAATCATTGTCAGATCACTTCCCCATTCTGAAGATAAAAATCTTGTTTTCTTTGATTCTATTTTTACCTTTTATACTGGTCTAAGTTTTAGACCCTTCCTTTCCTCAGTGCTAACAGGCCTGAGCTTGCATTCTTAGTTATCATTTAGCTGAGCCATTGATACTGCTGTCTTAAGAGAGCTCTTAAGATTAAACAGGATGCAAAATTTACTTTGAGATATTGATAAATTCAGTATAGATATGTTCAAGGAATAGTCTGGGGCAGCTGATGGAAGCATTTTTTTTTTTTAAGCATCCTCCAGACAATTTTCTACCAGATGTCAGCATAAATCTGTATGTTCATTCACTTGCAAGTTATCACTGAGTCTTCTTTGAGGCCCTTGATCTGAAATGTTTCTCTTTTAACATATTTCTTAGGTTAATTTCCCTGGACTCATTAATTTGTATATTCCTAGTAATATTCTTTTTCATTAGAGAAAAAAAAAAAAAACAAAAAACAAACCACCCCAAACAGAAAACTACCTGCAGAAAACTGTGCTGCTGCTCTGTATTTGGATACTTTTTGCAGTGTATCACTGAATATTTGAGCTGAGTGTCTGTCCCTCCCTTGATGATAAAAATCATATGATGATGTGGTCACGTTAGAGACTGGTAGGTTATGGAGCTGATATGCTTAGCTATTAGTCTTTGCTTAGTCAATATGTGTATGCTTGGAGGAGATTTACTGTTTTCTTAGCACTAAAGGGTAACGTACAACACTGTTATGGTTTGAGAAACCCACAATAATTTATTATCACTTAGACAATTACTCTGTCACCTGATGACCCCTCATGACCCAGGAAGGGGAACCAGGAATAAACAAGGAAACCTGAAGGTTGAAATATGAACAGATTTAATAGAATAATGCTAAATACTTAACATTAACAATATTAAAGAACAAGTAGTGATCCCAATACCAATATAAAATATACAAGGAATACACTCAGTCAGTTCTATTCAGCAGGAACCTGTGCACTCCCAGTGGTGGACAGCAAATGTGAGACACTACAAGTGCTTCAGCTTTGGGAGGAAGGGAAGGCCTCAAGGGTCCAGTGCCAGGGCAAGAAATTCTCAAGATTACAGCCATCATAGAAGAGAAAAAATCCTCCTTAGCAAACTTGAAATATGAACAGATTTAATAGAATAATGCTAAATACTTAACATTAACAATATTAAAGAACAAGTAGTGATCCCAATACCAATATAAAATATACAAGGAATACACTCAGTCAGTTCTATTCAGCAGGAACCTGTGCACTCCCAGTGGTGGACAGCAAATGTGAGACACTACAAGTGCTTCAGCTTTGGGAGGAAGGGAAGGCCTCAAGGGTCCAGTGCCAGGGCAAGAAATTCTCAAGATTACAGCCATCATAGAAGAGAAAAAATCCTCCTTAGCAAACTATCTAATTTATATTGAATGTGATGTTCATGGTATGAAATCTGTTGGCCAGCCTGGGTCTCAAGTATCTGTGTCTCGTTCCTCCTTGTCCACGCACCTGATGAGCTTGAAAACACTGAGACCTTGAAACCCACATACTGTAACTGGCTATGAAGTAAATATTTTCACAAATTCAGACATTAGAGTCTTCTAAAAATGGAGTTTTCCTTAGCAGTAGAAGAGACCTTACTAAAAAGTAAAATTATTGAAAGAGAAATTAGTCTTGTGTCACTCAAACCAGGACAGACATGCAGCTAAGTGCTTCTTGCAGGTGTGTTCTGTGCTACGTTGGGCTGCTGCCGCCTTAGAGTAGCTTCAGGGACACTGAAAATTTAGTTTGTTTGGGTTTTGGTTTTTTTTTTTTTGTTTGGTTTGTTTTGGGTTTTTTTGGTTTGTTTGTTTAAAGAGGGGATTAATTGGCAACAGTGTATCGAGAGCAGTGTTTTCTCATTTTCTGAGCTTTGTGTTGTCTTGTATATATTACAGACCTTGTGCTGAGCTGACAATTGGGTATGTGGTGATTGACTTGAGATTTGACCTTAAACCTGTAATAGTTGAATGTGTAACTGTTCATTATGAGATGACTAGGATAGCAGGGGCCACATTTTTCATCTGTCATGTTTGTGCCATCCATCAGGCTCAAATAAATACTAGTAGAGTGACTAGATGGTACATTAATTTCAGTTGCTGTATTCAGATGCTGAGATCTAGATTTGAATTAAATGACAAAATTAAATCTGACTGAAACTCTTCCACCAGACTTATTTGGATTGAAGCAGAATGTAGAGATGCTGCTCCTTTTCTCACCGCGAGGCCAGCCAAGCGGTGGAAGAGGCTCTGAGGGCGACTGGGCAGGCTCCTTCCCTGGAGGTCTTCAAGATGTGGCTGTCCAAAGCCCTGAACGGCCTGCTCTGAGCTTGGAGCTGACCCTGCTCTGAGCAGGGGTTGAACTGGAGACCTCCTGAGGCCCCTTCCGACCTGAATTATCCTGTGATCCTGGATTAGGACCTGGTTATGCTCGGTGTTATGCAGAAGGGTGTTACGCTCGCTGTAATCCCCTGTCTCAAGGTTGTCCTGGCAGCTAAAAGTCTTTCCTAAAGCAATACCCACAGGAGTAATTTCAGTTGATGTTAAACTGTCAGTGCCTGTTTTCTTTATCTGAGACAGATAAAGGCCTTTTTCTTTTGCAAGCCTTTTCCTGTCAATTTTGCTAACCGCTGTGTTAGATTCGTAATGTTGATAAGATTCCACTCAATTTCTCACTAATTGTGAAATAATACATACTGTAAGTAGATGTGGAAAAGAATAAAAGCAAAGATAGTACCTTGAGGATGCATTAGTCTAATATGGCCAAAACTGTCTACAGGTGAAGCCAAGGTTTGAAAGAGATTCAAGCAGGAATTGTCTTTTGAGGGTGAGCTATGCTAGTGGAAGCAAGATAGTTTCTTAAATAATACTGCTCTTGGCGATAAGGATTTAGATGGGGTATCAGCAGGATGGGTGAGCACAAACCTGTGAATTATCACATCACTGCAGAGGGGAAGAAGCATCAAGGCATTTGAGTAAACTTAATGCTTAAAATTTGTGGACATCCTAATTCTGAGTTAAATTCTAGTAGGAGCCAGAGTGCCAAAATTGAGAACAAGACCACCAGAAAATCCTAACTTAATTTTGGACATAGCTTTTGGGATTTACGAGACTGCAAAACACTAATTGCTTCAAATTGGAGAAGGAAAAGAGCGACACAACTCTCTTAATGATAGATGATGTCGGTTTTGGTGGTCTTGACGGGCGGGATTGCGATAGCCTTGCATTGTCATTACAATGAGCTGAGTAAGCAAACTGCAGACCCTTTGGAAAATTGAAAAGCAAAGTTAAATCTCCCAACAAAGAGTCTGCAAAATGCAGACAAAGCAAATTTATGTGAAAGTTGGGACATGGAAAGCAAGTGCTTAAAACACTACCCTTCCATTGGGCCAGAGCCGCTGCATAAGAAATGAAGCTGTTTTACGAAAGGCCCTCAAAAGGGACCAGAAGGGCTTTAAGAGGAGGAGTGTGTACATGTGTGTAATATTCTGTACAATGAAGAAGAGGTAGAAGGTGTGGCTGGTTGGGTTTTTTTTCAGCTTGAGCAGCTCCTGAGGCTACATCCAGCTGTTGTAACGCTGCCTGGGATACGAGCAGCTCTCGAGTTAGGTGCACATCTGTGGCTGAGCATGGCTCCAGATGTTGCCTAAAGGTTTGAAAGCAAAATCCAGGGAAAGCGCAGATCCGAGAGAGGTTAAATTGCTCAGATTTCAGGCTTGGTATAAAAATAGCACAAGATTTCTCCTCCTTCCCTCTCCGTCATCAGGCTTAATGGTTCTGGAGAGAAGGGAGCTGCAATTTGATGGGCAGGAGGTTGTTTTCCAAAGACACCCGGGTACCTGCCCAGCTGGTGTAGGTCAGCGGGTGAATGGAGCTGGGCTCTGCCTTGTCTGTAGGGCTGGCAGCTGGGGTGGGAAGGATGGGAAGTGCTGCTCCCGAGAAGAGACTGCACGACGTGTAGAAAGGGAATGGAAGAGCGAATTTTCTAGCAAATGGGTAAATAAGCAAATGCTAACAGAGCTGCTTGATGCTAAACATAGCCAGGAAGATTTGGGGCAAAGGTGAATCTGGCATGGTGCACCTAAACATGTTAAAAAAAAAAATCTTTGGATTTGTGCACCAATGTTTAAAGAGTTTGCATGTGCTGGGAACCTCTTCTCCCTCCATGGTTTTTGCATTGTTTCCTTTCTCCAAGAGCAACATTATTAAAACATATAACTGCAAAAATACTTTTCCCAAATTAAAAAAATAAATAAATAAATAAAAGACATTTGCAGAACACTAAGCTCTCATGCTTTCAAAAAGTTTATTTTTGATGTACTAATTTTCAAGACCCTTGCAAGTGGAAAAAAGTCACAATTGTCCAAGATTGTGAGACTTGAATTCAAACTTATATTTGGCACTGCTAAAATAGCCCCTTTGAAAGTGGAACTTGCTGTCTGCCATGATTCCATATAAGAGTAAGCTTTCTATTGAGCACCTGATGGTAGCGTTTAAGGCAATTTGTTATTTCTGTAAAAAGACAAATTGTGGTATGGTAACAGGTTACATGGGCTGAAGCATTTGTTGTTGCAAAAATGTGTGTGTATCTGCGTGTTGTGTATGATGGCAAAATGCGGATGCCAAAGACAGTGATGTGTTGGGTTGCTGTTTCCTTGTGGCAAGTCCTCTCTGAAGAAGTCTGAACTTCTAAGGGACGTAGGAGGCACCTTCACCTCTTTCACCTCTGCAGAAGGAGGAAGCACGATACTTTTGATGTCCCCAAGTGGTGAGACAGCTGGCTGCTGAGGAGCCTCTGGGCTGCCACCTTGGTTCAGAGCAGCGCCGTGAGACCTCTTTAGTTGCTCACAAAGTGAATTTTCTAGCAAACACTGAGACTTGCCAGCAAATGGCTGGTGATGATCTCAGTAGTTTTGCCCTGCTTGGAAGGGGGATGGCAGGAAGGGTCAGTCTTCTTCCAGACTCCTCCAGCTGAAACATGGTTGGTGCCTCCTGGGACAAAGGTTCCTAGCTGAGGATGGAAGCGCTGGCGCCTCCTGGGACAAAGGTTCCTAGCTGAGGACGGAAGCGTTGGCGCTTTTGGCTTCTGTCTTTCTCCTGGCAGTCACATTGCCTACTAAACTGTGAACCAGTCTCTAAAGCCTCAAGGAGAAGACTTCTTATTGGCCACCATATAAGAATGTTCTGAGACGAGCACTGAAGGATGCCCAGGGAAGTGAGGTGGGGCAGAAGCAGGGAAAGCAAAGAAAACTGTGGCATAGAAGACATCTAGGAGTGACTGATGCCTCAAGGAGGATAAGGATGCAGAGCTGTCCCTGAGCTCTGGCTAGGAAAAGTTTGTCAGTGGGCTTGACAAAAGCTGTTTGGGTGGAGGGTAATGGTGAGTGAAGGGTGTGCTCAGTGTAATTACTGTAGGTAAAGCATTCAGTGAGCAGGGGGCTGGCATTAGGTTTTGAGGGTTGTTCAGAGAAACAGATGCCTTGACCTGTTCTGTTCAGTCTCTGATGGGAATGACACAAGATTATTATGTATGTGCTGTGTGAACCAAATGGTTCTGTGCCTGGGGTTGAATTTTTGGGGAAGCTTCGCAAAAGTGTTTCACTATTTTCACTGTCAGTAAAGCTCAGTAAGGAGAGGGAGAGAGTATACTGTTCTCAGATGGCAATGTATTTATACATTGTGTAAATTGGTTTCCTAGTTCTAAGTTGATTAAAGTGCTGTTTTTCAGCAATAGCTGTGCTTGCAGTGTAACAAACATACCTGAAAGGTTTCATTCTTCTGGTTGTAGATGGACGGTGATAGCTCCACAACGGATGCTTCTCAGTTAGGAATTGCTGGAGATTACATTGGTGGCAGTCACTATGTGATACAGCCTCACGATGGTAAGACATGTAACAGTAAATACTACTATTTCTCTGTGTGTGTGTGTGTATATATATATATCTATGTATATCCTTCCGGCTCTTGTATATTTCTCTCCTATCTTCCGTCAAGCTAAGAATTTGCAATTGTTTGTATCTGTAATGCCTCACTCTATAAAGCATTTTTTCTGCAGTCTGAAGGTGGAGGTTGGATTTTTCAGTGTTGACACTAAGTCCTTTGGGGTTATGACAAAAAAAAAACAACGGGTGTGCTAGTAAACAATTCTTATTTTGACATGACATTGAGAATGTTTGGTGTTCAGCAGCCTCATACATTTCTGTGCATAATATGATAAAGATGATAACAAACACCCATAAACATAGCCTGATGTTACATCTATTTTTAAAAATATTTCTACAATGTTAATATACTGTGATTTCAAAGTTCTTCATTGTTCAGTGTAAGATTTTAAACTGACTTAATTATTGCTTGCTGTCTGTCAAATACAATTTTTGTTAACTTTTCTTTATTTCATTAGACACAGAGGACAGCATGAATGATCACGAAGATACAAATGGCTCAAAAGAGAGTTTTAGAGAACAAGATATATATCTTCCAATTGCAAATGTGTCAAGGATAATGAAAAATGCCATACCACAAACAGGAAAGGTAATACCCTTGTCTGGTAAAGAAAGTGTGTAATGAGTTTTATTCCTTCCTCTGAGTGAACTTGAGCTGGTAGAACAATATATTTTTTCCAAACGATCCTGCTTTATTGGAGAAAAGCCTTATAAAATGAAATAAAATAAAAATACGAGCAGGAGGTGATTGAGACCAACTCCATTTTTCTTAGGTTTCTGAAAGCTTTTAGTAACTGCTGTAATTAGAGTATCCAGAACAGTGCTCTTCGTAGAGCTTTAAAGAGCTTTCTTCTTCTAAGACGTGTTCTCTGAAATTCTCATAATGGGTCAGACTTGTGACAATCTCATATCAGTAAGAATATTTTCTATGCAGCTCCCTCTTATAAAATTTAATCTGCTTTTATTGGGGTGCATAAAATGTGGATAAAGTGAACCATTTTGGATGAAACAAAAATCCAGTCCTCATCCCGAAAGAAAGAGAATGGTTAATCTTCCATCGGCCAGATCTTAACATATCGAAGTGCCAAAGTGACCTAAGATGTCTGCCTTATACCATGTAGCAGATAAGGCCAGATATTGAAAGACTTATTTTATTTCTAACTTCTAAGCTAGACTTTTTAATCCATCCTGCTGACCTGGTGATTGTGTAAGTGTCTGACCATCTCATCTGTTTATCTTAAACCTTTGCAGGGCTCCTATTACTTGCTGTTTCTCCATTGTATTCCAATACAATTCCTGCCCCAGTAACATCTCTAGCTAAAGCTGATTTCTTTGCTGACCTGGTGATTGTGTAAGTGTCTGACCATCTCATCTGTTTATCTTAAACCTTTGCAGGGCTCCTATTACTTGCTGTTTCTCCATTGTATTCCAATACAATTCCTGCCCCAGTAACATCTCTAGCTAAAGCTTATTTTTTTTTTTTTTTTTTTTTTTGACATCACTCTAAATAGAAGCAAGACATAATTTACTTGCATCTGCTTGTACTTTCATAGTGTTCAGGGCTTTCTGGGGATCTGGGTGTTACATTTATATCTTTGCTGTGAAAATTTCTGCACTGGTCCATATTGTCATAAATTTTTAGAGATCAAGATGAGATTTTTTTCTCAAGAATTTAGCATATGGGTTGTCGAGCTCTCTTGAAAAATCAGGGAAGTTTTTGTGAAAAACTGCAAGGGAAGCTGCTGGCTGATAAATACTTCAGAAAAATCTCACCCTATGTGTCTGAAATATCAGAGGAACTAGTGAAGATTCTACATACAGTTACTGCTTCATTATTTTTTAAAATTACAAACAGATTATTCCCATGTGAACAATAAGAATCTTTATTATTATAATCTTTCAGTTGGTTTCTCTCAGCTTCCCAAATAATCATGAGTAATGCTTTCTGTTATTTTAAGTCATGTAAATTACTTTTGTCCAGCTGAAAACCATAATCAAATTTATTTCATTCTTGCCATGGGCATATGTTTCTTCATTTGAATTCTCATTTGGAAAAATTATACCAGAATATTAAAGCATTAGAGAGGCTTGCTGCTAGGCATATATTCCAGTTCCTGAACCTGGTCAGGGTAAAAATACTTGTCATTGCATTTCATTCCCACAAATTCAGCAATGGGCTTGGAAGTGCTGGGCCTAGTAAAGGAAGCTAGAAGTCGGTTATGATGTTGTAATGAATGGGTTTAAAGAGAAGGTGTAGGTAAGCAAAGCAAGCGATACTGAGATGCATCTATATGTAAAAGCTTGTACAGAACATAGTTATGACTTCAGGAGATCCTGACAGTTGGCTGTGCTGCTTGAAATACTAAAACTTTGGTAAAAATTGTGTTGCAGCTGTGCTTACATAGAGCAGTGATGACATCCAGTGGTTCCCTCACATACAGGTGTTGCCTAAATGGGTATTATCATCAGGTTTTGGGGTGTTTCCTTTATGGAGTGTATTCTTTTGTTTGGGTTTGGTTTTAATCTTCTTGCGTCTTGATTAATCACTTTATGATACTTTTTACTTACTAGATTGCTAAGGACGCAAAAGAATGTGTGCAAGAGTGTGTAAGTGAATTCATCAGCTTTATAACGTCAGAAGCAAGTGAGAGGTGTCACCAAGAGAAAAGAAAGACCATCAATGGAGAGGATATTCTCTTTGCCATGTCTACCTTGGGGTTTGATAGCTATGTTGAACCTTTGAAGTTATACCTCCAGAAATTCAGAGAGGTTGGTATATGCTTCAGTATTTCCTCATTTATTTAACCTGGTTGTGTTTATCCTTAGTTCCCTGTCATTGTAAATGTATGATGGATAACTTGCACAGAGTTTCACAGCTATTGTCAGGGACTAATGTAACACTTAAAAGCATTCCAGAAGGTATCAAGAGAAAAAGGAGTAAGTAAGCATTTTTATTAGACTTGCTGATTCACAGTAGTTAAAGCTTTCAACTGAGTAAATTCTCTAATATATTGCTGGTAGTAAATCACTCTGTTCTTTAAAGGTGCTTATTAAGAATACTTAATTCGATCTTTGGGCTGAGTCAATAAAACTGTACTAGACTACATCCTCTGAGGAACTAGCCTAATGCCTATTGTTTGTCTGGGCTTCAGATCTGCAAAACAAAAAGTTGTTTTCCTTGTGTCAGAATAATGATTCACATGGAAGGCTTTCTTATTCAATGTTTGGGGGTGTTCTGATCTGTTTTTTAGCTGTCCATCAGTTTGTTTTTGATACATAATACCTGCTAGGTTTCTGCTTGGGTTTTTTGGTCTGGTCCCTTGTTCCCCCTCCTCCTGTCTGGAGATGGAAGAGAAGTATGTTCACTTGCTTCTTTACTTCGGTGTTCTTTTACCTGAGAATACCAGATCTAACCAAACAAATCAAAGGGTTTTTTATCCAGTGACCTCTCTTCCTCATAGTCCTGAGTGAAGAAGTTGTTCAGTGTTAAAATAATCTGGTGAGGGTGGGGTTGCAACTCAAAGCTATTTATTTATTTATTTAAATGTGGATCCCTCTTGTTGGTGTGGCTGCTTGGTTTTACTGGCATAAGTGAAGCAATTATGTCTAAATTGGCAGTGCTGTAGATAGAGATGGCTTGTTTCTGTTGACTTTCTTCATTCTGGAAACCTAAGTTGTTTTTTTTTTAATCGGTGGCGGTCAGACTCACTTGTAATGTTTGATTTGCTGATAGCGCTTGAAGCTTCACCTTCCCAGGTCATTTGCTGTGATAAGTGAGTAACAGGAGGTATAACCCAAAAGTACACTGCTGTGTGCTAGCGTGTTCCAGTTCTGTGCAGCAGTTGCACATGCCCTCAAATTGCTCTATGTGCTTTAATTAAAAATGCAGGTCGTTTCAGTACTTCTGGAGAAGTCTGAAGTGGGTCTATGCTACTTTCATTCTGAAGTGACCATTTTTGCACATCCACTATTCTGCTACAACAGCATATGTGATTGGGTTTTAATTGGCTGGGTGGATTGGATGGTTTTCCTCATCAATTTTAAACCTCCATTTCAGCTAGTTCTGTCTTCAGGGTACTGTATATAGTGAAATAGTTCTGCTTTGTAGCTTAGTATTTAGTTTACATCAAACAGTTGCAGAGAATACTTTTTATACGTGTATTTTCTATAGATGTTCTTATGTAATAGCATAGACTTGTAAAACTACATGGGGATGTCTGTGAGACTTGGCTTTCTGTGCTGATATCCTTTCTGGCTGGAGTTCGTCAAGTGGGAAAAGAAATCAAGTGTCTTGGTTTTAAATGTCAACTCGTAGCTTTACGATGATGGCACTTGGCATGTGGTTGGTAAGCAAATGCATATTCTTGGTAGTTCTGAGATTGTGGTTTCTTGTAAATGCTCTTAACTTCTCCTTCTGAATTACTGCAGATCTTCAACTTTCTGCAGAAGGTGAAAGCCCTTCTAAAACTACATGGTCCTAGTGTGCAGAGGTCTTGTCTGAGGAGTGTGGCGAAGCTGAAAAACACCCTTCCTGTATTCTTGTATTATGAGCATTCTTAAATCCAAAAGAGTTTTACAGGTCTTGGATTTCAAACTCCAGCTGCTGCACGGTGACTCTCCTACAAGTTCCAGACCTTGGCCAGAGCTCCTGGGGTCTTGAAACAATCTCAAGCCAACTGTCCTCTAATACATTTCTCTCCCCCTTCTCCAGGCAATGAAAGGAGAAAAGGGAATTGCAACAGTTACAACTGGAGACAGTCTAAGTGAGGAGCTCACAGAGGAAGCATTTAGTAAGTAATACTTTTTAATTGATATTATTACTGTGGCTTTTCTAAAAACAGCACTTCCTTTAGACATCAGAAGTATTCCTTACTTGAGGAATACACCCTGTGGCCATGTGTTACATCTGTGATCCGTTGAGATTTTTATTTGAGATGTCTGGACAATAACTTCTGCTCAGATAAACTCCTCCCAGACAGTAGAATTTATGGTCGGAATGAAATAATTAATGATAAATGATGACTCTCTAGTAATAGGTAACGTCGACTGTGGAAGATGTTTTTTAAATGCATACATTACTGCTAGTATTTATTCTCTATTCTTAAAACCAGATTGTAATGAAAGGTCCAGACTTTTTTTCTTCCCCTCCCCTCTGCCAAGTAGCTACATATTTAGGCCCCGTTTGTTCTACTTGCAAGACTGTTGGGGAAAAAATAAAATAAACTGCACTTAATGACTTGAGGAGCTTGTCTTTGAGAAAAGAGCCAGAGAAGAACATCATCTTTGTATAATTCTAAAACACTTAGCCTTTCTTATGTTCAAAAGAATGGACAGATTGGCAGCTAAAAGGTGTAGGGCAAGGATTATCATATGCATTCACTGTAGTTTTTCTTCCTTACACTGTGAATTAAAGCCTGATACTTGTTGGGCCTTTGCATTGCTTTTGTTGCTGCTCGATTCTTGCATATAGGCTTCACCTTGGCTTTTAAATGGTATGGGCTGGTAGTCTTGAAGCTGAAACAGGAAGAATTAGGAGGCACTGGTCTAGTCATACCTACTGATGAGATTTATTTTTTTCAAGTAGCTGATAAGTCTTCCGTTTAAAATCACTGGTAAACTACTGAACTAGCAAAAATTGAAAGTCTGAGGACTGAAATGACCTACTCAGGGTCTGAAACACACCTTGCTCCCAGTATGATGACTTTGGCTATATAAAACAGTACAGACTCTTCGGGTCTCTCCTAGCCTGGAAGATATGCTCATAAAACTGGCTGGAAACTAAGAATCTAAGCTGAAATATTGCTGGGGATTTACAGAAAGCTTTAAATTTTTGTAATATGACTATTTTAATTTTGTAAGTAAAGATTAGGTGATGCAAGTAGTAAACTCTTATCTGTACTCATTCATATGTAAGAGCTTTGGTTCAGAAGTAGTAAGACACTAGCACAACTATAGGCCCAACTTACTTTGGGTATGTTGCTAATGGTTTCTGGATTGCAGCTGTTGGGAGTCTGTCCAGCTTGGAAGCTTGTTAAATCAATATATAGAAATTGTTCTAAAAGCTTTACTTTAAATATATTCTGATTTGCACTTCATGCATTTAAACTGCAGCTCAAGAGTTGAGGCAGAACGTCTAGTTGGAAACTTGTGATTGCGTCTCCATCCAGTATCTTGTTTTGTATGGGGAAAGGGGCAAATCCACAAAAAGTTTGCCTAGTCCAAGTACAGTCCCCACCAGAAAATGGAAATTGGAAAAAAGGAATCTCTTTACATCTCCCATCGCCTTCCCAAATTTGATATGGTCCCTGTTAAATGGCAGAAGGCTGAAGATGTGCTCCTAGTCACTTGTTTAAATACCTCAGGCCTGGGAGCCTCAGTATGCACTATGAAATAAGCCTTAATTTGCTGTGATTTGAAAAGAGCAACTTTGGAAGTGACTATTAAGTCTTGGCAGGATACACAGGAGATGTTGCAGTAGGAGGAGGAGGAAAAATCTTTCTCTGTAAAATAACCAATTCAAGCGCTGCAGGCACTTCTCTCCGTAGGGGCAGCTCTAGATCCGTTCAGAACGATGCTCTCACTGCAGCAGTAGCAGTCATGGCTGTGCTGCTGTGGCACAACCCGCAGCTCTTTGGCTTAGCCTCATGCCAGGACTGGGTCAGAGGCTTGGCATTAAACTGGATGTGGAACATGTGCGTTGAAGGGCAGTAAAATTTTGCCAGAGCCACTTTTCACTATGATACTAATGCATCTCTTAACTTTCAATTTAAGTACTTGAAAACGAGTACAATGAAGGTAGGGAAAAAGAAACCCATCCAAAAACCCAATTTAAAAAAAAAAAAAAACAAGCATCAGCTTTCAAATGAAAGCTGTTAGGATTATACTGTATTTTCAGAATGGTTTTTAAGGGTTATAGGTCTTATTTATACATAGTAACAGCCATAGTTCAGAAAGAAAAAAGCCCCGTTGCGTGTTCTCCTGGCAGAGAACGTCATGCTACAGTGACTTAGCTTAACAACTTGAAAAGTTTTGCTGCTTTGTTCCAAGTAGCATTTGTAATGCATCTACTCTGTATGTCGCAGAGCTAAATGTACATTTTACTGTAAAGGTTTATCTTAAATCATCACTCCTTGTGTTTTCTTTTTACATCTCAGTAGTACTTTTATTCCATTCCTTGGTCTCTTCTCTCCTCTCTGAAATTCAGAGCTCTTGTGCAATGCCCTGAAGGACAAGCTGAAGTCCACCAGTGTAATGGCAGGTCTTTGGCTTCCTGGCAGTAGCTTTGTCTCTTTTTGTCTCTCTGTTTGTCATTGCCTGTCTCTGTTCATCTCTGCCACCTTCCATGGGGCTTCCACATTACAGAGTCACTGATGGATCCTGTTCTATAAAGCAGTGCAACAATTTCATTTGACTTCCTCATGCACATGTGTGTCCCAACTAAACCAAACTCTGAGTTCTCCAGTGGGATATTGAATGCCGGAGATTACTTTTCTCAGTGGTCAGGATGGTGAACTCCACTCCATTCACCAGTGTATGGCTTTGTATGTTCTGCTTCAGATACATACAGGAGAACAACAAGGTGCAGTCTCACTGTTAGATTATCTGTGCAAAATTAAGTTGAATTTTATTTCTTAAGTGTTTTTTAATCAGAACAAACTTGTTTCCTTGTAACACTCAGTAACAAGTGTGTCTATATGCAGTGTAGGGTAGTAGCTGTCAGGAGAGGAATGTGGCTCCATAGTCATGGAGTCACAATTAAGGACTCCAGGAGTCCTGTGGAGTCCTGGACCACAATTAAAGGTTATTTAGTGGTGACAGAAACATCAAACAAGGCTCTGTGTATCCTGCAGTTCCTATCTAACTTCCCTAAAATGCTCTTTCTTTCAGCTAACCAGTTGCCAGCAGGCTTAATAACCACAGATGGCCAACAGCAGAATGTTATGGTCTACACAACATCATATCAACAGGTACTGTATCCCGTCCCCTACCCTCCCTTCTGCTGCTAAAATTCAAACACTAATTCAGCTGCCCTGTTCTGGAAGATGAGAATGAATTTTATGTAGTCCTTTGGTGGTGGCTGTGGTGACATTCCAATGCTGGGACAATTCCCAGCTGCTCACTGGGATACAGTTTCAGAAAAGGTGCATTTGAACATGAGCTTGTGTTTTTCTTTCTGTAGATCTCTGGTGTTCAACAAATCCAGTTCTCATGATTTGAAGAAAACTTTGGATCTGGGAACACGAGACGGAAGCTCTGCAACTCTAACAAAGAGGCAGATTTAATGACTGGTGAAGAGATTTATCTCTTTGTATATTACATAGCTGTAATGTAGCTACCTGAAGCTTGACTAATTGAGGTGTGAGTTCTGACTCAAATCTTTTTCATGATGATTTTAAAAAAAAATTGGATTTTAAAGGTATTAAAGTATTTTTGTTTTGTACAAGAGTTTGTTGCTCTGTATAACTCCTGTATGCATTGTATATTGCAATTTATTACTGTCAGAGATTTGTAGACAGTTTCTTATTTTCATATTGAATCATGTTACTTTTGTAATTCAGGTAAACAGCTGGGTTAATTCATGTTTACCCTTTGAATAAAATTGTAAGGGTAAAGTTCATTTTTTGAATGCAAGTTGCCTTTATTATAAAGATTGAGTTGGTCTTGGTTACGTAACTTGTCTTGCATGACGACCTCAGCTAACTCTACATGTCAGCATATTTATTGAAACTTCAAAAGGGACGTTTTCCTCATGAATTGCTACAACTGTTTTTTTTTATGTAACTTCAGAATTAAAAGTTAATCAAAAACAACCAATGCTCTACTACATCTAGAAACTTAGAACTTACCAACAGTGTTGACGAAAACACTGATGTGTGCGATGCAGGTCTTCATTTCATATATTTTTTTCAGTTGCATTAACTCTCCTTAGACTTAACTTTGATATATTTACGGTAGTCTTTGTGCTGCTGAAATAACTCTTTGTTTTTATGTATGGTTTTTAGAATCCAAGACTTAGAAATTCAAGGGGGGTGGGGGGGGTGGGAGGATTTTTATAGTCCTTGTGGTAAAAGATCTCACTTTAACTTTTTACTGAAACGTTTTAAGGTTTCTTGTGAGACTGTGGGAACTCTGTGTTAGTGATCTTCCGTGTCCAGGGCTGCGTGTGAGTGTGAGTGTGTGTGTGTGAGTGAGTGACTTGAGACTTGAACAATTGATTAGAGACCTGAGATGGAAGACAGGCTGCTAGTTTGCTCTCTCTTCCCTGGTTTTGCAATAAACGCTACCTAGACAATGTAGTTCTGTATATTTAGTGAGCTGTTCTTAGTGACATAGCTGTTTCTTTAAAAATGGGGTGGGTAATTTTGTTAGCTGCAATGTCTTAGCCTGCTAGGGGTAGGGGCGGGTGGTTTTAGTAACACAATCTTATTCAGACTGAATTTTGGGAACCTTTGGTATTTTTACTGTTTGCAGTGGACTGAAATGTAATATAATACTTATCTTTCCACATACCTGTCATTAATTTAAGAAAACCACACCTTGAATCTGTTGCCATATAATTTCATGTTGGTTTTGTCTTTTTTTTTTTTTTTAATTAACTTTTTAATATTGGGGAAACTAGTATAAACTAAGACATCCCAGAAGCCTGAAAGGGCCAGTTCTTTGCTAAACAAAAATTCTAATGTATGTGCAGATTTGAAGAGTGTTTCTTACAGATGAGCGTGATGCTGGCAGAGCCTCTGGAGGCCATCCAGTGTATTCTGTGGCGAGCTGGGCAGATGTTCGGGGGTTTTGTGGCAGTCTGTCAATCTTCAGCAGCTACGACTGAACAAATGGAGTTTTTCATTAAATGTACAAATGAATAACACAATCCCTCCACGAGCCCCTTCTGTTTGTATTCTGCTTGTTTCAGGCTGTTACACCCTGTTCTTGACGGTCCCAGATTTGCGATGGGGAAAAGCTGTGATCACAGCTAAGGAGGAGCTGGGGGAGATTTGGCAGTTGGATGTGCAGAAAGGGGGCTGGGGTCATCCCTCATGTTTGCTCGAAGACAGCTACGTTTGTCAGTCTGTCATCTCTTCTGTGAGTTTAGGTTAAAGTCCTTTGTGGTTTAGACACCATCATGTGCACGAAGGAGCTGGTATTGCTTTGTTTTTTTCTTTTTCTTTCTTCACCCCCCTCACCTCCCAAGGTCCAGGGACAAAACCACAGCCACCTTGCTCATTCACTCCCTGAAAATACACACACAGGAGTAATAGCACAGCACTTCACTAGATCTCAGCACTTCACTAGATTGATGATCAGAGGGATGGAGCACCTCTCCTATGAAGACAGGCTGAGGGAGCTGGGATTGTTCAGCCTGGAGAAGAGGAGGCTCCGGGGAGACCTTATAGCGGCCTTTCAATATCCGAAGGGTGCCTATAGAAGAGCTGGGGAGGGACCCTTTGCCAGGAAGGGTAATGATAGGACAAGGGGAAACAGTTTTAAATTGGAAGAAAAAAGATTCAGATTAGATATCAGAAATTTTTTTACTATGAGGGTGGTGAGACACTGGAACAGGTTGCCCAGGGAAGTTGTGGATGCCCCATCCCTGGAAGTGTTCAAGGCCAGGCTGGATGGGGATTTGAGCAACCTGGTCTGGTGGGAGGTGTCCCTGCCCATGGCAGGGGGGTTGGAACTAGATGATCTTTGAGGTCCCTTCCAACCCAAACCATTCTATGATTCTATGATCTCTTTCTGAAGCCATTCACCTGATAAAGTTTGCCAGGTGCTGTAGTGCTGGTAGAACAAATGTGGTCTGAGGAAATACCTGCCTAATTTATATCAGTAGTAGCACAGGCACTGTGGATTCTGTGTTTTTGTTTAACAACTGGTGTGTGTTCTCACCTTTCTGTTTGTAACTACTCCAAGTTTAAAAGTAGCTTAGTGACCATTCCTGCTTGTTGTATCCCATCTGCTTCTATGAAGCTGCCATCTTTGGTTCTCTGAAGGTTTTGGTTGAACGAACATAACCCCAAATAGAGCTTGAGCTCCAGAGAAAGGCTGCCTGAAATAGTGGTGATGTTCAAAGCTTTTTTTTTTTTTCAAGCACAGTGACTTTTTTTAGGTGTCTTTCCATGACACAAGCAAATTTTACTACATTAATTTTTTTAAATTAATTTCTGTGTGGCACGTTCCTTTTGATCTTTCTTGATAGAGTGCTCGTGGTGTCTTTAAAAGCCTGCAAACACTGTTGTCTCCAGTCAAAATGCAGTTAGGAGAAAAGCTAATTTAGATGGCGTTCTTCTACATCCCATTTTCATTATAGGCTTAATGGGAGCTGAGGCTCTGCCTTTTTCCCAGTCTTGCTGATGAACTATTTTTATTTATTCCTCTGTTCTGATCTCTCCTGAACACTTAAATACGTGGCTGGATGTTGTAGCCAGAGCACAGGGGGGAGTCTTGGCGTGAGGTGGTCAGTCCAACATACCTACTGACCTGTGTCTATCTGCCTGCAGCTAAAAATCACTCTGAGCTGTGTGGGCTGTCACTTAAAGAGCCTGCACCCTGGATACGCTGCGAATCACGGCAGATTGGGAGATGGTCCCTATTGCAGAGTTTCAGGATGATGCTCGTTAACATGTTGTAATCACGTGTAGGTGATTTCTCTCTTGCCTTTGGCAGGAGGGGAAGCATATGGGCAGCTGCACATGCACAGGAGATTCCTCAGTGCAAAGCAGCAGAGAGCCAAGGGCTAGGATTTTCCCCAGCACTTCGCTGCCGTGATAAGAGCTGGCAGGAGCCTTGTTTATAGCTATAAAATCCTGCATTTTGCAGAGCTTTGAATGTGATTAATGTTCTAGTTAAGTCACGTAGACTTGCTGCTTCATTTGTATGTACAGTGATAAGACAACTTGCTTTTAAGTCACATTTCCAAATGGCACAGGCCAGACTTTTTTCAGTTTTGATTTCTACCAAGTAGAAGAAAGGAAATTTTCAATTAAAAAAAAATCTATAAAAGTAAGAAAATTCACTTCAAATTTAATCTTTTTATAGATTAAAAAAACACAACCCTGTAATGTAGATTTTAAGATGAATAATACTATAGGGAAACTACATTTTATATAGGAGCACAAGCAGTCCTATAGGAAGAAGTTAAATATTGATAATGTGGACAGTGGTTACTCCTATAGTCCCCCCTTTCAGATTGGTTTGGTGAAAAGAGCAGTGGTGGAAAGATGGCTTTGGGCTGTGGGAGGGATTAAGACATGTCTGTAGTTGGAAACAGACCGATTTTTCCTCTTGGAAAATAAGAGATGTTGTTCTGGCATAATCATTCGTGCTCCCACCTTTTAAAAGGCCCTACTTAAGCAAGGGAATATTGATCTGTTTACCTATTGATTTGTGAAATTGGCACAATAATGGACTGCAATGTCACCTCTGACCCTCAGCACGTCAACATTTAATGGGAAGCTCTGGAGACGCTCGGTGCCAGTTCAGCTTGTGCTGACATCCAAGGCCAGATGCTCTGGGGAGCGAGGGCAGTGTGCCCCTATGCACGGCCTTCTCCAAGCTGGTGCCAGCTGCCCCACGTTTATTACATGACAGGCCCCAGGTATGGCTGCAGAGCAGGGAGAGAGGCCAGGCAGCAGCTCAGAGGGAGTCAGCGTCGCTGGTTTAGGAAATCTTCCAGGCAAAGAGCCAGGCTCATTTCCTGGAATATCTCATTGCGGTGCACTGGGGCGGGGGATCCATTTTATCAGGAGCAATAGCACCTGGTTTGCTTTTGTATGAAAGAAAACTCATGAGGGTTTAAATCTGCTGGGCAGAGGAGCATCCTTCAAGCTGCTAATCCAATCTGTGTGTGCCTGATGCTCCTGGTCAGAATCAGCCCAGGTTTTTGGTCCTGTTCAGGGTGCAGACTGCTTTTCTCCAGAAACCGCTGGGTGCAGCGTGGGTCCTCCCCTGCCAAGGGGGCAGCAGTGACTAAAGCACTTTTTCCTGCTGCTTCCTAAACTGTTGTCACGCTCTGTGTCTCCTCTGTGCACAATGAAAGAACAAAAAAAGGGTTATTTCCAACTCAAAGGGGTCCCCTGCCCTGCCTCAGTACACAGCTCTCCCCAGACTAGGGGTAGGGCATGGACCTAGCCACTGCTTGGAGCTTGCCCAGTGACAACTACAGGAGAAAACTAATTTCTTAGTTGTATTTGCTTCAGGTGTGTCTTTAGCATGGCAGAAATGAGAGGCAAAACTACAGAAGACTTTTTTTTAAGTCAACAAAATCATTCAGTAAATAAGAGCAGGGAATCTGTCTGAAATGAGGCGACTGCTATGATGAGAGTGTCCCCCACCCAGCAGACACAGGACCAGCAGCAGCAAAGAAAAGCAACTTCCAGCTGCACACCTGAGGCGCACAGTTCAGGTATAAACGCTCTGTCACTTGAAATACAACTACAGCTGAAACGCAGTCACCGCTTTATGCAACAGCAAATTAGGAGGAGTATATATTGGGGGGTGCTGCATCAGAGGACGAGTCCACTCTTACTCCATTCAAAGCCAGCAGCCACAGCCACGTTTTACAAACCACGCAGCTGAAACTTGCCCAAAGTGTCTCTTGAGTGGATGCAGTGGGATCAAGTCCTGCACACCCACCAGAAAAAGAAACATGTAGAAACTCAAGTCCTGCACACCCACCAGAAAAAGAAATAGAGGCAATAACTAGCAATTTTATCGAACCGTAGACTTGCTTAGATTGGAAGGGACCTTTCAGATCATCAAGTCCAACCATCAACCAAACACTGACAAAAACCATCACTACACCATAGTGCTAAGCACTGTGTCTACCCATCTTTTAAATACCTCCAGGGGTGCCTCAACCCCTCCCATTCCAACGCTTAACAACCCTTTCAGTGTAAAAACTTTTCCTAATATCCGATCTGAACCTCCCCTGTAGCAAACGGAGGCTGTTTCCTCTTTCCATGGTGTTGTCTGGCTTGACAGCTCCCATGCTGTTTCCCATGGCTCAGCAGCACCTTCCTACAGCATCTTCCTAACCTTCTCCTAGCAGCACAAACATAGGAAACTAATCTCAGTAACTAATCTTTGAATAATAGCTACATAAAGAGTCTGCAGTTATACTGTAACAGAAGTAGGTGAAACCTCAAACAGTTGCTCCCAGGCTCTGAATATTTTCATTCCGGAGAAGACAGCATATCAAGTCAGCACATAAAAGTCTCCTCCCTACTCAGGCAAAGTGCAATGAAGAAATAATTACAAAGCTGCTACTAAAAAGAAAGATTTGGGGTACTTCTTAATCCTGCTCCAAGTTACGAGCTACTACTTGTACCTGCTAACTTTTCGTTAAAGGAGAATTATCAACGCTGCATGTAAGAGAGAGGTGGTTATCCTAAGCTAACTTTTCGTTAAAGGAGAATTATCAACACTACATGTAAGAGGTGGTTATCCTAAAAGGCAGTTAAGAGTCCCTGGCAGAAACTATTTAAATGAGAAAAATGCAAACAAACCCAGAGATGATGCAACCAAACCAAAGAACGGGTGGTTTTGAACCTCCTCAGATGGCATACACCCAGGGTGCCTCTTCTAAGAACAGCTTGGAAATAACTGCGTATTGATCACTTCCATGTGTGGGTAACAGCGCTCTGTAACGCCATCAGATACAGATCATAACTCTTGGAACCCCACTCGCTGTTTGGGACACGCTGAAATGCTTTGTCTCTTTTTTTCCCCTCTTTGAAGATACCGTACCCCAGCCTAAATTTTCATTTGAAGGAGCGGCTGTACCAGCTTAGCAATTGTCCCAGATTAAAAACAGATGCGTGCGAGAGGCAAGAACCCCCTCAATAAAACAATGACAGCAAACTAAGCCCAGCCCCAATTTGGTAGGTTTTTTGGTTTGGTTTTTTTTTGGTTACTGGCAGGGCTATGAGCTCAACCAGTAATATGAAGTACTTCAGGCTTTTGAAGGATTTTGGGAACAGACCAAGATGTGACTTACCACATTTTTAGATGCCAGATTTTCAGGACGTAACATCAGGCACATCTGGATGGAGTTAGACAAACAGCCCCATGAGCTCACAGAGATCTCTGGGGCCTTCCTCCCACCCAAGCCCTCCTCTTCCCTCCCCCTCTCCCTCCCAGGCAGCCCAGCCCCTCCCTTTCTTCTGCTCCCCTGCTTCTGCCCCTGTGCTGAGCAGATGAGCCCAGCAGAGCAAACTCACACCATCTCCTATCATCTGAAATTAAACTGGGTGCCTAAAACACACCAGCACCCCTCTGCCTCATGCCCTCCAGGCAGGAGTCTCCCACTGCCCCTTCTGGTTCTCTGCGCAGCAGTTCACAGGATCACAGAACGGTGGGGGCTGGAAGGGACCTCTGGAGATCATCTAGTCCACCTCCTGTGACCTAAAGCAGGTCGCACACCTCCAGCAGGCTGGGCAGGAACGCATCCAGGCAGGTTTTGAATCTCTCCAGAAAAGGAGACTCCACAGCCCCTCTGGGCAGCCTGTTCCAGAGCTCTGGAATCCCCACCACTGCCAATAGCAGCAGGGCCACCAGGGCTTCCTCCCTCTGGAGGCAGCGGCATCCTACAGACCCATTCACAGAGCAAGAGGATCCATTTAAGGGTCATCCTGCTACTTTCAACTTCACTTCTGGAAATCCTAATAGAAGGGATCTCTGCTGAGCTTCCGATGAATGGAGAACACCCCAAAATACCTTTCACAACTCCTAGCAGGAGGAGGAAGACACCAACTGCTAAGGCAAGGCCAGCTCCACCCCTGCCCTGGGAACCTGGGAATGCTCTAGTGTCAGAACTGGAAGCCACGGAATAAAAGCCCTGGCCTTTAGCTCACTAGAAAATATAAAAATACACCAGGAACCAGCTAACGCTATAAAGAAAAAAGAAAAAAAACTGAGTTGTTTTTAAGATAAATTCATGCAGCAAATTCAAGTCTGCCTTAAAGAGAAAGTAACTCATACTCTTAAGAGAAAGAAAAACAAACATGAGGGAATTCTTCAGTGATTGTTCAGGTTTTCCCATCTGTTTTCCAGTAATGCAAAGATCACAAACAATCGAAAATAAGACGACAACAGTTACTCTATTATAACAGCTAGGAACACAAGGAAGGAATCCATCTGGAGCAGACCACTTTCAGCGGTTCCCTATGTGAAGTCTCTTAAAAAGGTCTAGAAACGATCCTGTAGACCATTCAGTTCACTCACTACACCCTGCTCCCCTGCTTCTAGAAACATACATTATTTAGAATCATAGAATGGTTTGGGTTGGAAGGGCCCCTAAAGATTCCCAAGTTCCAACCCCCTGCCATGGGCAGGGACACCTCCCACTAGTCCAGGTTGCTCAAAGCCCCATCCAGCCTGGCCTTGAACACCTCCAGGGATGGGGCATCCACAGCTTCCCTGGGCAACCTGTTCCAGTGTCTCACCACCCTCACAGAAAAGAATTTCTTCCTAATATCTAATCCAAATCTCCACTCTTTTAGTGTAAAACTGTTACCCCTTGTCCTATCACAACACCTATTTCCCCAGGTGTTCCCCATAAAACACAGAAGTTTAGCAACTTGCCCTGAGACTGTGACACACAGGCAACGCATGTCCTTACTAGAAGCCTTCTGAGCACAGCAAGTGCTCTCTCGTATCCCATCTTTGCAATAGAAAAAAGGGTAACAAAGCAATACCAAACTCTTTGTCACTCATTTTGAACAGCAGCAACACAACCGCCATAAGGACAGCAGAAGTCATTCCCAAATTTCATTTCAGAGGTGGCAGCCAGCACGCTGCAGCACACAAAGGGAAGGGGACAGAGTAACGGCAAGAGCACAACTGCCAGAGAATATGGGGCAGGGAAACTGAGGAACCTCAACTAAGGAAAAAACACCCCATGAGGCAACCAAGGAGTAACCTGGGAAATCATTTTTATGATACTCGGTATTACAATACTCACCGTTAAACTCTCTCCCCCTAAGTCAAATATATTCACTCTCTTCTCTGTATCATCCCCATTTCTAAAGAAGGGCAGAAATGTGTAGTTTGTACACGTGCACCTTTGAAAAAACAGAGCCCCACTTCAGCATGTACAACGCGTTGGATAGGACAACCACTTTATTACAAAGAACAAACAATGCTTCGAAATAAGACTGATCAACTCGAATTGTACAAAATGTCAGTTTCCTTGTAGAGGTCATTAAGTAACAGGCTGTAAGACTAAGTTCACGTCAAATTCGCTATCCTGCAATATCAGATAACAACAGTAATACTTAATTATATCTTCAGAGTTTATGGCATGATCATGTGCTCTACTCCAAACTACATTCAAAAGATATTGCTATAATTACTTTGAAAACACAAAGTGTAGGTTATTGTTCACTTCATTTCCACTTTCACAAGAACATTCTGAAGGTGAAGCTGTAGCGGGGTCGGCCGTAAGCAGCACGACGGCCCTTACACTGACACAGTCACGACTCCCCTAAGGAGTTCAGTAAACCTAAACATTTCCACAATACGGATACTGTCACCTCAGAGGTTTCAGCTTCTGTTACACGTCCCTTAGCAATAGATGAAACAAATGGGTAACACGTTCTCCAAGAGCTGATGTCAACAGTCTTGCAAATGAATTCGAAAAAAAATCAAGCAATCAGTATTTGTCTGGTATCTAGTTGATAGGCAAACAGGCGGGATTGAGACCTTATAAATACAGTTCTAAAAACAAGACCACAAAGTGTATTTTACAGCGTGTACCACAATTTCAGTTTGAAGTAAAACTGCGAGGAACTGAAAGTCTGCGTATGATCACTATTCAACGTCACCCAACTTGGACAAAGAAGAGAAAAGTGACATCTTATGTCAAGCCAGCCGGAGAAAGCACACTTAAAAGGAAATTATACTTTCATCTAAAACGCCACAGTTTTACCCTTTGGTAGTTGTGACATACCCACTGGAAAAGAAATTGTGCAAAGCATGTGAAACCAAGTGCAAAAAAACCCCACCCAGACACACCCAACGGATTTTATTCTTAAATAACAACTCTACAATCACAGCTATCGACCAACAAAATCAAAGCCACAAGTGTTTTCTCTAAAGGCTTCTTTTACAGTACTAATAAGAAAAACCAAATTCTAGCCTTCTAGTTAACAGTTCATGTGAACAGTATTTTAGTTATCAGACAGTATTGGTAGTGAGATCATACCTGATAAAATGGACCATTAAAACACTAACATTTTAAAGCCAGTTAACTTCAGGAAAAGTCCTATACATTCATACTATAAACACCGTTTAAAGTGAGTCTGGGATCTCTGTCATTGTCAGAAACACGAGATTTTTCTCCGGAGTAAAACCATGTGTTATTACTCCTGTGCCACAATTAACACTATTACAGCGATTTATGGTCCCCAGCACATTTTTATATGCTATTATAGCATGTGATGTGTTGCAATAATTAAGGCTGTATCAGCACTTCCACTACAACCCTGATTTTCAGGGCAGCTAAAACTTGGCTATTAAATCTGCTCTGGGAAAACTGAGCTGTTAAATCTCTAATATTGTCATGATACTTCTCCCACCAAACCAGGCACATCATTTATTTTAGTTTATATATTTACAAACGTTCTTAAGACAAATTTAACTGGCAGAGGCAAGAAATTCTACCTTGATGTACAGTCTTTTGGCATCCAGGGCAAAATTAAAGTGCAAAGTATAAACTTCATTGCACAGGAAATAATTTAGATTTTATTTTGAAATAAATCTTATTTAGGTGCCTCAATCTATTCACCTAGTGACCTTGTCCAACTCAGCCATTTTCCTCTACGCTTTGGTAAACATAGGTTTATATATAGATACATAAATAGCATTTAAAATGTTTACCTTTATTTCACTACTGTGAACAATTTGTCTCTTTTAGCATAGGAATGGATCAACCTATTCCTAGAAGTAATGCTTGTTGAATTTATCAGCTAGCTAGTTAATGTAAAATGATGCATAGTAAAAGGGAGATACTGAACTTGATTGGGAGGATATACTGGTAAAGCAAACAAGCACTTAAGAAGATTAACTGGAATAAATATGTTGAAAGTTGCCATATAATATGTGCAAAATTGCTTACCATGTATTCTAAACTTTGGTTAAAATTTTCAGATTGAAGTTTTACAGAAACATTATGGAAGCAACACAAGTGATTACAAACACAGGAATGAGGTAAGTTATTATTAGTGCAAAAAGCAAGCATATGCTAAAAGCAAAGCATATGGATTTAAAAAAAAGAGAATGAATCTCATGGAAGTTTTAATACAAGACCAGAAAGGTCTCTTGTAAACATTGGTATTTACAAGTTTAAGATTTGTACAACTACAAAAGGATGTTTCTAAATATTAGTAGTGCATTTACAATGAATTTACGTTTTTTGTAATAAGAGAAATTACTAAGTTTATCTTTTTCCTTTTAAATCTTCAGGGGATATCTTTCAAGATTAAGATATTTGTTACAAATAGTAGAAAAATCATTTCTTTACAAAAAAGTATATATTAAAATATTTATACATTTTAAGTTACTATATAATAACTGGAAATTTTCGCCTTGCACACAGGCACCACAACGAAGAATGTGGTATAAAGAACTGAAACCAAACAAAATTTGCTTATATACCAAATCTTATAAATTATCTATGCAAGATCTGTAACAATCATGGGGACTCAACCTCAAATACTATTGCATGTGCCAATTTTGTAGTTATTTGATTTCAAACTGCATATTTTTTACGTTTTAATTATCCCTACCAAAAAGAGCTACTGGATGGAGTATGGTCTTCCATCCCACCACCTTCAATATAGTTCCTATATGGTACTCATACCTGAGCAAGGCTGTGTAACGCTGATGTTCCAAACGTAAAAAAGGTTATATACTTTTAAGATAAAAACAATGCAAAAATAAAATATTTGTAGCATTTACAAATAGTACAAGAGTTACATTAAACACTACATTCGAGACTTGAGATTTACGACGTCGTTTCTATTTTGAGCCTGATGTTTTCATATCTGCAAAAAGAAGGAGACACTGTTAAATGTTTGGTAATTTCACATCGTGTATACGGTCAAACACTTTCAACCAACTACTGCGTCAGAGTTCTGGGGTACAGGTCATGGTCGAACCCCTAGCTAATTAAAGGGGTAAAACAGCATCGGAATACTAAAATTATGGCAGACAACTTCATTGTTTATCTCCACGACATTAAAAAACAAGCAGTGGTGTCTTCCACAGTCGGCTTTCAGCCCACACCCTGTGGATGACAGCCCACGGAGCCAGAGTTCAGCTAAACCCAGGCAACAGCTCCCTGCTCCCTGAGGGGGTGGGTGCCCTCCCCTCACTCTGCCCTCCCCGACCTCCCTCCACGCTCACAGAACCTCTGCCTGGGCAAAGCCAGCTCCCAACCGGCAGAAAGCTCGGCCAGAAAGGGGAAGGAGTGGGATGAGAGGAGAAGCCAGCAAAACTACTTGTTTTGTGCCTCCAGACTGGCTTACTTAAAAGGTGATCAGAACTGATCAGGCTAAAAAACTAATCTTTATTTTCAGTGGGTCTGTTTCCATCCCCAACTCATCGTGAACCTGAACAAGTTCAAGTGCAGGGACAAGATGACAAAACCTCTTTTGTCGGTAATACAGACTTTGAAGTGTATATGCATCACAAAAATGCACTTTGTGAATTTTTTTTTTTCCTAATAAGGAGGGAGAAAAGATTGAAAAGAAACCTGATTACACGCATGAGTGTAACTGCAACACTTATTAGATGGAAAAAACCTTTGAGGTGAAGTGAAGCCCAGGGAACTCAGCAGCTTACTGGGCTCTTATTATTCAAGGGACTGGGTAAGACTCAATAACCAACATTTCAGTACTCGCTTGTCTTCTGACACAAAAACCCCAACTTTTAAATGTTATGCCAAATTCAACAACTCAATTGAACAAAACATTTCAAGAACTTGACGTGCACTGCTGAAAAAAGCTTTGGTTCTAGAGACACAATAGGCCATTCCCTCCCATTTAAATGCCACATCTGACACCAACTTTACCTTGAAGCCATCGAACTTGCGTGGCTGGTCCATATCCCCTCTCATTCTTTGCAGAAATTCTGAAGACTATAGCAGGTCGGGAAGTGTAATCAACGTGAGCGTTGGCAAGCTGGGCAGCAGTCACTATACACGAGGTTTTAAGACCACAGTATATTCTCATAAATACAAGCTGACTTGGGTTTTCCTGTAATTGCGTGGAACGGATCGCTAAGTAGGCAGAATATTCTAAAATATTTCCCGAGGGTGAAGCAGGAGGCTCCCAAGAAAGATGAATACAGTCTACACTCTGAAAAAAAAAAAAGGGGGAGAAAATGTGATAGAGTGTACGTAACCATTAGATACCTGAATATATATGTATAAATATATGTATTAAAAAAATATAAAAATACAAAACCGCCTCTAAAGATCATCTGAAAATTCTAACTTCACATCACCACTCTTTGGAGATAAAGACAGGTATTTTGACTTTTATTTTTGGTAAAAAAAAGTATGGTAAACCCCTTTAGATTTAAGGATGCAGAAAATCATGGTGAAACTGTCAAATGATAGAAGACGTGTATCTGACAACATGATCATTAAATATAATAAATTCTTTACAGCAAATTTCCTAAAGAATATTTAATTGACCAGAATTATCCAAGTAAGCATCTGACAACATATTATGTGACAATTTTAACTTGAGAAAAATTCCAACAACAAATCAACTAAACCCAAGAGTTCTGAGATTAAGCTTGTGACCAGAATTCTATACATCAGAACTAGAATTACCTAAATTTCTCACCTTGGTGATTTTGACTGTTGAAGGAGCTCCAGGAAACCCAGGAATGCAAGTCTTGAATTCACTGATCTTACTGAAAGGCCCAACGCCACAGCCGTTAATTGCAGCAACTCTAAACCTGTACACTGTGCCTGGGAAAAGATCCTGTTTCTTAAGCAATCTGTAGTCTGGTACATCTGCACTTTCCTTCTGAAAATAAAGCGATATCTGTGTTAATATTTAAGATATTCCAAACACAATTAGCCCCAAAAGATATAAACTGGGTAGCGATAAACTGAGACTAATAAGTTTAATTGCAACTGAAAAGCTATCTAAAACTGTTATAGTTAAATCAGAACTTACAAAAATCTTCTGACTGAGACACTAGCTCGCCTCAAACCAGCTGATCTAAAATGCAGTATGAGACTACATCTCTAACCAAAAAAAGCCCTAATTTTTCAATCAGTTAAACTGAACTGCACCTCTTGGTTATTGCACCTCTGGAAAGTAAAAGCAAAGTAGCATTTCCAGCTGTATAGCATATGATATAATTAGCGAACTCTTCCGTCCTAAAAAATATTTTTATTTCAAAAATAGTTATTCCTATAGTTAGGAGCTGCAATTTGATGCGTAGGTAATCAAACTGTTTTTTAAAAAAAGCACTGTAAGTTAGTAGCAAATGGGTTTCTGAAGCAGAAGTGCTAATGTATTTCCATGTTTAAAATATGCATCAATGCATGCTTGAGACTTCCAATGGAACTATTTTCCCTCTGAATAATGTATAAGAAATCACAATCAATGTACACACTGTAAAATGTACTACGCTCCTTAAAACGAAGACGTGCAGTATTTATAGCAAAGTGCTTTCAAAGAAAGTGTTCTGCTCTTCTGTTTCTGTCTCAAGAAAACATACACCCATCCCTTCTGTTTCTAGTTCGCTAGGACATCATTAATTTACACTGTCACCATCAGAACTGCAGCATTTTCGCAAGTTTCACATGTATAGTATTTTCATATATACACTTACATGTGCAACAACATTAAGTTAGAGAAACCTACTACAAAACCCACTATAGTTCCATATCTAGTCTCTTTAAACAGCCTAGCTTTGTCTTTAACAATTTGTAAGCAAAGATTCTGGAAATAGAGAAGAAACTTTGACCAAAACATTTCAGCCTTGTACTGAAATAACGTATTAATAAGTTGTGGGTTTTTTAGTTTTAAGAATTTTTACAGGTTTGAAAGTTCACCAAGTTTAAAGTTCTTTCCTAAGGCTAGAAACAGAAAATACAGAAATAATTAGCAATTGCAAAACAAGACATTAAGAAAATTCATCTGGTTTGAGAAATGTTAAAAAAAAAAAAAAGTGAGCAAAATACATGACTGGTCACGAAACACAAAACTCCAAATCCTGCTGCAGTATCAGAAGATGCCACATTTTGCTTCAACCCTATGAGCAACAGATTCCAAAATACATATGTGCAAGTTACGTCAGAGAAGAATTAGCAGCTACCTTGTTAGAGATGTTCAGTGTTTCCTCTGGCAGCAAGTAGAACTGGCTCACCACAGCGCTGTTGTTCTTAAAAATTCCAACATCATACCACTGCCGGTCTCTCGTTTTCACTGGAGCTGTCTGTCTTTGGGGAGTTTTCTAGTATTTGAAGAGCACATTATTGTAGACTACCCATACTTCAATGTAACGTAAAGAAAATGTTAAGACTCTAAGGATATGTAAGAGACAACCCCCTAATATACCAGTGTTGCTTTCTTATACTTCAAATGAATATGCATATATTATCAAAAGACTGTTCAAAACCAACTGGTTCTTCTACATTGATTTAGACACAGCCTATCGTTTAAAAGAAAACAGCTGGGATGTCAACTCTGACATTCTAGTTTAAACAGGGGGGGAAAGAAATTTAAAGCTGTAGAACTAGGTGTCTGCAGCAGCATGTAGCTGGCGAGTTAAATTCAGAGGTCAAGAAGTTCCACAACGTGGTCCAGCACCAGTAGGTCTACTTGGGATCCAGCTACACCTCCCCACCAAGCACACCTTCTTTCAAGCTGCTGCTAACTCGATTGCAGCTGAGAACAGGGCCTCTGCTGTGGCATGAAGCAATGGTGGTGGAGGGCATGGAAACTGCTCCTGACTGACCCAGAAGGACAAACCATCTTTCTTGCTTGTCTCCAGGCACCAGGGAGGGTGCCTGCACGGTCACTGTGCCCAGCACAGACAGGCCATGACCCTGCCAGCATGGAAAAGGGGCAGGAGGGGCAGCTGCTCTTGGCAAAAGCACCCCAACCCTTTAGCACCAGCTGCTGCTTCCCATCCTTAGCTCCTCTCTTGTGGTGGCAACACTGGCACCTTGGTTTTGTGTATTAAGTTGTAAGCAGGTGAAATAGGAAGCATTTACTTTTTCAGGCAGTATTTACAGCTTGCATAGCCAGTCCCCATCTCCTCTAGGGAAAAACATCAAGATGTCAGTTTAGTTACGTTTCAAACCTATAGACCAGCAGCTAACACTCATCTGATCTATACATACTTCATTTTAAATTCAGCTGTGCATACAGAAAAGCACTCCACATTTGCACATCATGCAGCAGAGAGACCATTCCACTGTGCCAGCCGATAAGAGATTCAACAGCTGAGACACAAACTTGGATCTCCTCCCAACTACACAACTGCTACTTAGACTCAAATCAAACCCACACAATGCAATTAGTTTTACAACAGAAATGTTTACCCCTGTATTATTCACTTCAAGCCCTAAATATACATTGCTTTTCTTTCAGAGATATAATTAAAGGAAAACAGAAGAGCCCTTACAACTAATCAACGGAACAATAAATACAGCAATTTGATTATACTTTTCCAGACTTACAGAGGAGTGTGAATCATTTGTCTGTCCAGTATTGACCCTTGTTGAAGGCATGATATAAGCAGTTTCAGCAGCTAGAAACAAAAAGTTATATTTAAAAAGCTTAAGTGATAGGAAAAAATTAACACAAAGTCCAAAACATGAAAGTTCATCTCAACAGCCATTTAACAAGTATTTGTTGCAAAAGTCCGTCTCAGACTTCTTTTGCATGCAGTTCTATTTATAACACAAACTACTAATTTTGGCCTGCGTCATATTCACAGAACAATTGTAACAGCCTGGCAGCGCAGGCGGCTACACATAACACAAAGAGAAGGCAGGACTCAGAAAATCCTAAAAAGTGACAGAACGATGAAATCGATACGAAATATTTGTGAGCGAATAATCTAAACACCAGATTGAGGCACATACCGATGACATTGTAGGAACACTCTAAGCATGAAACCTTAGTTTGAATGCATTGTTTCCGACATCAATACAGTCTTAAGTTCTGAACATGAGCAGTTAATTTTTAAATAATCCCAACAAATGGGAAAAAGAACATTTATTACATTTAAAATGCAATCTTGAGAAAAAAAAGCTAAATTGAAGTACATAAGCAACACAAGAGAATATCAGTGTTTTATACTTATGTTTCTGGTTTTTGCTTTTAAAATGCAATACTGTTAGGTAAAAATTATACTACTCTCACAGCATCAGTAAGAGAATACAGCTAACACTCAAAGCAATAGCAAGCACAGCCCATTGATACTCACAAAAAAAGGAAACTTGAAAAAACTACAAATATGTTCAGTTTCTGCGTGGCTGCTTATTTTGGGTATTTCAAGCAGACTCTGAATAGGTCAGCACATTTGATTACTGGTGAGCAAGCCACACGAACTGGCCATATTTGCCACAGAATTCAGTTGTTTAAAATCAAAACCATCTAAGGTTATTATTTGCAGTCTTCTGCTGACTAAATAAACAATCACTGAATGAAAACAAACGTGCTACGGGCACCAAAACTGGCTGCCACTGCTATTTAGAAAACGGGCTTCTGCATAAATGAAGATTTAAAGGACTTTTCACTTACAGGAAACAAAGATTTTTACAAACATATAAAAGGAATATCCCAATGTTTAAATCATAGCAGAGATCATCCAGGCTGCCCAAGGTCCTCAATGCCCAAAGCCCTATCTCAATCCCAGGGACTAGTCAAGATGGAAATCCCACCACACTAGAGGAACTCTGAGGGCCTTAGATATATATGGCTCAAAATACAGTATGTGAAACACATTTCAAACCTTCAGATTTTGAATTGAATGTTGTTAGTGAAGTTTCATCTTTAACAACTGCCCCATTTGTACTTGATGATTCAGTTTTAACAGCCTGCTGGGTTACCATAGTTTGTGTGCTGGAGACAGTACTGGAGACAGAAGCATCAGGATTTACAGTTCGTTTGTCCAAGTCATGTAATTCACCTACATTTGCTGAAGTCTGAGGACCTTAAAAAAAGAAAAATATTAACCAGAATTCAGTATTGGTAGCACCTACCAAATTTCAACATGATCACAGTTTCATATAAAACCAGAATTTAGCTCAGATTTAGGTTACAATAGATTTGATTAAATTAATTGCTAACGCTTTCTTTAGGTCTATAACTTAACAAAAGTCTGTCTACATAGTCATAAAATTATATATGTAAACAGTTATATTAAAACAACAATTTCATTTAAGTTTGCTATTCTATGAGGACCTTAAAAAAAGAAAAATATTAACCAGAATTCAGTATTGGTAGCATCTACCAAATTTCAACATGATCACAGTTTCATATAAAACCAGAATTTAGCTCAGATTTAGGTTACAATAGATTTGATTATATGAATTGCTAACGCTTTCTTTAGGTCTATAACTTATCAAAAGTCTGTCTACACAGTCATAAAATGATATATGTAAACAGTTGTATTAAAACAACAATTTCGTTTAAGTTTGCTATTCTAGATCTATTTGGTTATGAGAGGATTAATTTGGAAAAAAAATCCTAACGTAAAGAGAAAGTATTCACACAAATCAGTATCACAACTTTGATACAATCGATTTAAGATTAACTACTGTGGAATTCTGCTTCTCAGCACTAAGATGCAACATTTCAACACAATACTTAAATTACACTGCGAAGAAAACGAAAATCCAACAACCCACAAATTCCATCACAATACTTAAATTACACTGCGAAGAAAACAAAAATCCAACAACCCACAAATTACATGAGAGTCAAATATAAACAGATCAGTTGCCTGAGCCTGGATTCACCACAAAGAACATAAGGCACTTCAGTGAAATGCCTAAATCAGTGCCTTGTCATCTTACGCTCCTCTCCACATCGCCTAAAATGTCCCACCAGCTACGGCTTTGCACTATTAACAGACAGAAGTAGTGTGAAAGAGAGCCTGAGGTTACTATCACCTTAAAGTTGTAAAATGAATCTGGTCCTGTCAGTCTGTTCTTTGATGTTAAAAAGGGCTATTTATGTTTAGAGACACATTTGCCATCATAATAATGATTACTGAGAATTTCACGTCCTTTGCAACGCTTCAAACAACTTAAGGTTTCATTTTTCTTTGTATCTTCTAAAAATACCTGAAGTCATAACTAGCACAAGATGGTTGTTTTTAAACTACAAAAGCCTCTAAAATAATTTCAAATTGCAAGACAGAAATAATCTTATTTTATATTTATCAGACGAATTTCAACTCTCACTTTTTAATTAATTTTTATTCTATAGTCATCTTACTTGAAGTACAAACAGGCAAAAGAGAAGGGGCATTTGATTCTTTGAATCCTGTAGCATCTGCATGGTTTTTCATAGTCTCCTGTGTAATCTTGTTTTCAGGTGCTGCAACCTTTTCTTTTCCTTCTACTTTTAATAATGAGTTGGATGAAAGGGAAACTTGGACCTAACCAAAAAAACACATGTGTTAATGTTTAACTGCAAAGTTCAGAAATTTCAGTTGCAAACATGGTATGAAAATGCTTCCTTGAAAACAACAAACAAAAATCCTCCAACAAATCCCCCTAGCACTTTAAATTATAACAAGAAACCAACCTCACAATCCACCTTATCTTAGCCATCATATTACAAAGACTCAAACTCTAAGTTGACTTGAAAGTGTCCCTTCCACATACTAAATTTTATCTGAGTGAGCTCATGTTCTATGTTATTACATGGAAGTTCATTGATGCATAGATGTAGCCTACTGGGGGGGACTTGAGGGGATGGGAAAATAAAAAAAATGACAACTAAAGAGGTTTTTCCACCTTTGCTTTCCTGGCACATATGCAAGGTACTTTTTTACTAACTACTGTTAGTAAAATTTATAGTACTTCTACATGCGTTTTCTACAAGAATAAATTATGGATCCCGTACAGATCCGAGGCTTTACACAGTTAAGAAAAGGTCAAAATTTCTAAAATTGTGATCTTTCAGCCAGAGTTTGTCCTCCCTCTTTCTTTTAAATTGGCAAAACAGTGCAACACGTACACCTGCACAACCAGAACAGATAATAATTTGGTTTATACTGTAGTAGGAACCGACAACTAAGCAGATTAGTATTAAAACACTAACAAAAGGAGGAATATGCCTTATCCTTTTTGCGTCCCACATTAATTTCACCAACATTTTGAGGATGAACAGTATTTCTACTAGTATCAGACTCCTAGTAAGCAGTCTGGAAGTCAATAAAGTTGCAGTTTCCTTTCTGCATTACCAGGAAGAGAACTTTAAAGACTGTCAATTACAAAAATAAAATAAAGTTATGTCTGTAAAAAAACAGACATTACTACTTCAGCAGGTGTCTTTGTTTTGTATGATTTTGGTTTTTTTTTCTAAGGCCTAAGAAGTATGCAGGCATTTCAAAGGACTTTTAAAACTAAGACAGTGTTTTAGCAGTTCTCTCACTTCCCACACTACTTTGCCACTTCAGCATTTTTCAGTTTACACTTACGTTATTAGGAATGACATTATTTGTTTGGCTGGGATGATCCACCTTCATTTCTGGATAAGGGACACTAGGCAGTGATTGTGGACTTTGATGTAGAGAAGAGCCACCTTTCAGTTAAACAAAAGCAAATTCAAATCAGTTACAAAAAACTTAATATTATGTTGGTTAGAATCTATTCCAGTAAGCAAGAGGGAAACCCAAAGTTGCCTGAAGGAAGACCTGGTTGGAAGACTGAAATGAAACTGCATGGCCAAACAGTCAGTCCTTTCCTTTCTCAAATCATGCCCAGCACTGTACAAATATCTTCATATTTTGTCCAGACAGCTGGACAAAACTGAGAGACAAGTTAAACTGAATTTTCCATAATTATGAGGCACAGATTTGGGGAATAACAAATAAACAGGGTCTCTCTCTCAAAATGATTTTTTTTTTTCAAAACAAACTCATATTAATTTCTTAGGCAATCCTCTACCTTTATGCAAATGTTAGCATAGCATGATCTGACTCCTACCTTGTGAACTCAGCACGGATGTCTCAGGAACTCCAGTACCGGGTATTCCAGCCACTGGTGGCACTGGTGAGTCAGCATGTAACTGAAGAAGATATTCTTCAACTGTAGGTACTTCATCCCATTTCACTTGAAAAGAGTTGGTTGTAGCTCTAATCAGCTGTACCTGTGATGGTGCTGGAGGTTTCTCTACAAGAAACCAATAAAACACAAATGGCATGTTGAAATTGCTCTCCTTCATCGATTTAAGAAATATCTATGTAACACAAGCAAAACCAGTAGCTCCTTTTTCACTCGTGTACAATATATACCAGATCCAACAAGAAGCAGTTGTCAAAGATAGCAAGTCAAGTTAGAGAATATTATAACGTGCCATTCCACAGTCTTCAAAAATGCTGAAGTTCTGACACTTTCTTTTTTGATGGCTCTTCTGCTGCCAGTAAGTCTTTGGGTTGAATATACATCATTATAGGGATTACAGAGATAAGAGATCCTCATCCTTTCCTAAAAGGCTGCATGCAGTTCTTTGGCTCCTAAAGTTTTCTGTATTCCTGGAAAGGATTCACAGAAGACTGTGCTTTCTTTTTGCTTGCTCTCTGTAGCTAAGGGGAGCTTTCCCTCAAGCTTCTGCAGAGGCTAAAGCCTCGTCATGATTCAAAGCCAATGACCTGCTCTTCTCACTTGCCTTGATGCCTGACTAGGCTGCACTCTCAAGCACATCCCCTCCCATGCTACGCTTCTTCATCTTCTGACTTTCCTGAGGGGCAGTGAAGGA